AGGGGAGGGCCAGGAGAAGGTGGTTCACTGGAGGCCCCTGTGACTCCAGAGGGCTACAGGAGTGTGGGGGAGGGGTGCCGGGGCTGGTGGGCACAACCTGCAGGCCCAGGAAGGGGCAAGTAAGGAGTCTGGCCCTTCTGGGCCCAGAAGCTGAGGAGCCAGGCAGGAAAGCTGCCATTAAATGACTGGAGGGCTCCTGGCCAGGGCAGTACCTAGGTGGGGTAAGGCTGGTAGGGACAGGGTGGGGCAAGAAGAAAATAGACAGTGTTAGCTGGAGGTGTCAGAAGGGACCTACTGGAGGGGTCAGGAAAGAGGGTCTGGTCCCCCATCCGACCTCAGGGTGAAGGGTGGGGAGGGAGGAGACTCTTCTGAGGCATGAGTTGGGGTGTCTCAGGGCTTAGCACTGGGGAGTTCTGGCTGGGCACCAGGTGGGGGTCCTTTCCTGCCTCTACCCCTTTTCCCTTCCCGTTGTTCCTTCTCTAGTGCCTGGTCCTGAGGGCTGGGAGCTGTGGTTTATAACAGAGCCTGCCCCCCGCATGGGCCCTCAGCTGGGGAGAAGAGGTTCACAATGGTGCCCACTCCTCCCTGGGCCTCTCCAAGAGCAATTGTTCAGGGCAGGGCCTTACTTCCCTCATGCCATTTGCCTTCCAGGGGCTTCTTGGCCACCTAGGCCAAGGGACAGATGAGCATGGATTTCACAGGAATGATGACTGGAGCTTCACACTACCCTGCCTGGCCTGGCCTGGGAACCCCCTTTTCCTCCCACCAGGGACTCCTCAGCCCAGGAGAACACTCTTAAGCCCCAGGGGCAGATCTTTCTGCAGTGGGGTCAGGGAATGAGAGGTAGTGAGTTGGGCAGGAAGAAGCTGCTAGGAAGTGGGGAGGGAATTTGAAAAGAGTGAGCTGAGTGTGTGGGGGGGAAGGTTTCCATTGCCCCTGTTGGGAGCAGGCAAAGATGGCACTGTCCCTTTAAGTGGGGGTGCCAGTCACTGCCCTCCCCCAGCCAACCCAATTCATGGGCACACTGAGCATGTGCAGGAGCTATGCAAGTGGGGTAGGGAGGGGACAGAGGGGGGAGGGATTCCGGAGCTTCTTACCCCCCCCTACTTCCTGTAGCTGCCCCCACTCTCCTTCCTAGGTCTGACAAAGAAGCCCATGGTGCTCATCCAGCCCCTCCCCATCCTAGACCAGGGGGTGCTGCCCTCTCCACCCTGGGAAGCCTCCCGCCACCTGGAGGGGCACATGCTCAGCCTGGTGCCAGTCCCACTTCCATGGTGTGGGCGGTGGCTAATCTCCCTGCTGCTTAACATGTTCGATTTCATTCCATCAGTGCCAGGGCTTTTAGAAGCACCATCTACCTGTGACGTTGCTGAAAATCAGACAGCCAGGAGGAGGTGGGCCCTGCCCCACCCACCGGGAGCTTCCAGTCAGAGGAACAAACAGCTCTGAAGCTGCAAGGGCCTCCCCAGACTCCTCTCCCAGAGCTTACCTCCTTCCTCTACTGCACAGTGGCTCCCAAGCCCACGGGATCAAAGTCTCTTTCTCAACCAGCAGCATCTTCCAGGCCTTCCTCCCTCCTTCCCTTCCACACCTTCCTCCACTGTAAACCTGCCTGTTTCTGCAGTTCCTGGCCCTTCCCTCAGACCTCAGCTCCCTCTGAACTCCCCCACCAGCACCTGCCCACTCTCCTCCTTCCTCTTAATCTCTTAGCTACAGGCACCATTATTATTATTATTGTTATTTTTTTTAAGAGAGATTTTTGTTACAGTGTGAGTGTGCTCGCCAGAGAGACAGAGAGTGAGAAACCACCCTCAGGAAGGACTTGCCATGCCACAATCCCTTCTCCTCCATTCTCCTCTTGGGATTCTGGGCACATATGCACATGTGCCCAGCATGAGTTTCAATCCGCTGGAGGACTTGAACCACGGTCAGCCCTGTGAGAGTTCAGTACCACAACCACTATACCACCTACTGGCCCTGACACCCTTATTTTTTAAAATTTATGTGAAATTCACATACACGGATGCAACTCTTTGGGAGTAAGCAGTTTACTACAATTACAATGTGTGCAAGCATCACCTCTATCTAGTTCCAAATATTATCACTCCAAAGGAAACCTGAACCCAGTAAGCAGTCACTCCCACTCCCCTTTAGCCCAGCCCTGGCAACCACCAATCTGCATTTTGTCTTTATGGGTTTACTCTTTCTGGACTTTCTGGTGGTTGAGCTAAGAAAGTCTGGTCTGTTGGTGGCTGGAACCAAAAAGCACAGACTCCCTGAGGGTGCTCTGTGGAGGGAGCACTGGACCAGGAGTTCGAGACTTGTGATCCATTCAATTCTGCTTCTCACCCAGCAGTGGCTTAAACTCATGCTAGGCGTGCGTGTGCGCATGTGCGTGCCCAAAATCCCAAGAGGAGAAATGAGGAGAAGGGATTGCAGCATGGCCATCCCCCCGGGGGGTGATTTCTCACTTCCTGTCTCTATGTCTCTCTCTTTCTGGTGAGCACACACACCCTATAGCAAAAACCTCTCCCCCCCAAAAAAAAAGAAAAAAAATATACCTCCCCCTAGACCTGCCTGGCTCCTCCCTGCAGGTTCAGGCAGTGAAGGGGGCCCCCGGGGAGAATGTGATTAATACTGTGAGGTGTGGGGTCATGAGATGAGGAAACTTTGGCTTGGAGAGGTTGAGAAACTTGCCCAAGGCCGCAGAAGTCCTGCTGCTCTGGAGCTGCTGCGGTTCTGAGCGTAGGTTGCATAGGTTGCTCTCTGGACCATTGCGCTCTGGACCATTGTGCTCTCCTCCTTCAAAGAGATAGAGTGAGTTAAGAGCTTAGTGCCAGCTGTGTGGGAGGCGCTGTTGAGTGGAGGCAGCCATAAATTTTACTACTTTTGGGCACATGGGCCCTCAGCTGGGGAGAAGAGGTTCACAATGGTGCCCACTCCTCCCTGGGCCTCTCCAAGAGCAATTGTTCAGGGCAGGGCCTTACTTCCCTCATGCCATTTGCCTTCCAGGGGCTTCTTGGCCACCTAGGCCAAGGGACAGATGAGCATGGATTTCACAGGAATGATGACTGGAGCTTCACACTACCCTGCCTGGCCTGGCCTGGGAACCCCCTTTTCCTCCCACCAGGGACTCCTCAGCCCAGGAGAACACTCTTAAGCCCCAGGGGCAGATCTTTCTGCAGTGGGGTCAGGGAATGAGAGGTAGTGAGTTGGGCAGGAAGAAGC